AATTTACTCTCACAACCGTTTGTGATTTCTAAGACACGCCTATTGGGACGACGCGATCGACGTTCGGTTACCGATTTTTCTGTTTATCCAGCGCTCTCGCCGCTTCTCTCGCCGTGTTTCGAATTCGCCGCCGAAATTGGAGATGGAATGCGACCGGCTGGACGCAAACCTTCCAAACCCTCGCGCGCGGAGGCATCGTTATCGCGATTTATAGGCGTATCGCGCGTCCCGTGGCGGCCTCGTGCGATCCAGATGCTGCCGCGTAGTTCAAGGTATCGATAACGGCGCGCTCGAAACGGTTTCGCCCGATTCAAGTTTTGCCCGCGCTTGTCCAATAAACCGGTCGCGTATTCGCCTCTGCCCGCTAATTAATGCGCCGCGCCTCTACATCTTGTCCAATAAATTAGCTTTATCGATGCGCGTGACAGCCGGTTTATAAATGCCGTGTTGCCGTCACATCACGGACGACACGTCCCGCGCGGAGGAAAGCGCATTGCTCGCATTCGGGCATTTCTTTAATTACTCGAGGTTTTCGATCGAAAGCATCGAATTTTTAGAATTTTTAGAATTTTTGAAATTTTTGGAATTTTTAGAATTTTTGGAATTTTTGGAAGGACGATGAATATTCGATCTCCTCTGATGTATATTTCTTATTCTCGCGATTGGAATTCGACGATCGAAATAAAAATCTCGAATAAAGTTAGTTTGAGTGTGATTATTCGTTAAAAGTAGCTGGAATAATTTATTTATATGGATATAAATTTTGCCATATGATATTACAATTATTATTTCCGATTATTATTACGTTTTGATGAACGATAAATAATCGAAGTAGCTTTATTAAATAACTGGATTAAATTTTAGCTGTTCATCGATTTTAAAATTTACAAGTTTTCGAAGAATTATTATATTTATTATTATATTATTATATTTATGAAAATCCTTTCGTATTTTTCGTTTTTCGATTAGATACGACGATCGATGATCGATGATCGATTCCAAACGAGGAATTTAATAAGTTTTCCAAGAACTTGTGGAAACTCTTTCGATCCACGCACTAAAGAGCAAAGGCTTTTCCTCTCAGCGACTGTATTTCTCACGCGATCGACGATCCATCATCGAATCCAAACGAGGAATTTATAAGCTTCGTCAGAAATGTTTTCGATCCGCGCACTTATCGCTTTTCTTCTCAACGCGATTGATGATCGATCATCGATTCCAAATAGAGAATTTATCGATTTTCAGAGAAAATCCTTTTGATTCACGCATTCTTCGCTTTCCACTCAATTATATTTTTCACGCGATTGATGATCGATCATCGATTCCAAATAGAGAATTTATCAATTTTCGATTCACGTATTTTTTATTTTTCCTCTCAATATTTCTCATGCAAATTGTCATGCAATTGGAATTTGACAATTAATTATCGATCATGGATTCCAAATGAAAGATTTATAAATTCATAAATTTTTAAAGAAAACTCTTTCGATCCATAAATTCTTCGCTCTAAACGAGTTATATTTTTCACGAGATTGATGATCGATCATTGATTCTAAATAGAAAATTTATCGATTTTTAGAGAAAATCTTTTAGATCTACATTCTTCGTTTTTTCAACGTTGTATGCTATATTTCTCATGCGAATTGCCATGGAATTGATTACCGATCATCGATTCTAAATAGAAAATTTATCAATTTTGAAAGAAAATTCTTTCGATCCACAAATTCTCCGCTTTTGCTCTCAATATTTTTCATGCGAATTGCCATGCAATTGGAATTTTACAATTGACGACCAATCATCGATTTCTAATGAAAAATTTTTAAATTTATAAATTTTCAAAGAAAACTATTTCGATCCACGAATTCTTCGGTTTTCGTTTCAACGAGTTATATTTCTTATACGATCGACGATCGATTCCAAAAAGAAAGAGAATTTATAAATTTTCAAAGAAAATCCTTTCAATCCACAAATTCTTCGGTTTTCGTTTCAACGAGTTATATTTCTTATGCGATTGACGATCGAAATAAAAAATTTATCAATTTTCGATTCACGTATTCTTCGCTTTTTTTCTCATGCAAATTATCATGCAATTTGACAACTGACAATCAATCATCTAACGGAAAATATATAAATTTATAAATTTTCAAAGAAAACTCTTTCCATTCAACGAGATATATTTTTCACGCGATCGATCATCGATTCCAAATAGAGAATTTATCAATTTTCAGATCCTCGTATTCTTCGTTTTGCCTCTAAACGAGTTATATTTTTCACGATTGACGATCGATCACCGATTCCAAATAGAGAATTCATCGATTTTCAAAGAAAACCCTTTCATTCTTCGTTTTTCCTGAACGCGCGATTGGACACGACGATCGATCCAAAATGAAGACAGTTCGAAGAATATTTTATTAACTACAGTATAAAGAAGAAGAAAACCCTTTCGATCCACTCACTTGCTTCTCCGTTTCATGCCGCAAACTTCTCACTCTTCACCCTCCTTCTTTCCTACTATCTTTCCCGCCACCGAACTAATTTCGATTAACGATTGATCGATCGATCGATCGACCGATCGAGCAACACTCTCCTCAACTTTCAACCCCGCCCGTCCCACGGACTCGAAGCAACTGGCCCCACGTGGAGCCCCACGTTCGGAATCGGCAGCCGCCGCCTTTATTTTTGTCCATGCCTCCGAGGAGCCCCGTGCCGTGTAATACCCCATGGACGGGCCACGCGCCCAGCTCCACCATCTCAGCCAGCCACCCCACAAAGAACGACCATCCTCTTGCGCGAAAGATTCGTTTCTAGACTCTAGATCTGTTTCACTCGAATCAGTAATTCCAGACTTGGAATCGGTGGAATTTCTTACATTCTTAATTTATAATGATTTCTTTTTGTTTCTATAATATATAATGATTTCACTTTCTTTTCGTATATATATATATTAATATATAATTATATATATAATTATTTATATATATTATATATTCCTTTGCGCTCCAATGGTGACACTTTGGCATCACTTGGATCTATATATGGTAATGATATTTGAACGGCAACAATATTTATTTGTGTTTGATTCTTTTAGAATATCGCTTCATAAATAGGTTCCTAACCTCTTTATGTATA